TCTCTCTCGGTGGTGGTAAACTCCCGTAGACTCGAAGACACCCGCGAATTCCCGTAGCAATTGTCCCATATAAGCTTGCTCCACACCCTCACCCTGTTCTATGATACTCCCCATCTGTAATTGGTAGAAACAAGCTACAACACCCGTATTCTTCATTCGTCGCAAGGTCTGAATTTGCACCGGATGAGGTCCCATATCGGTGTTCCCTTGCCAACGATGGATGGTGTCGTGAAGAAGAAATTCCAATGTCAAGTTGGACAAATCCATAGTGACCAGCCCCAAAGTATCTAACCATGCCACACCCAAAACCATTTCAATGCCTTCAAGAGGTAAGACGTAACAATCTGTAGTTAAAACAGTGTTCTAAACTCGAACCTGCAAATTTCTGATGCACCATTCGGTTCGTAGCTTCTCCCTGTTTCCCAATAATACCCTGAAATTCGGTGTAGTTGTAACATGGAGCCCTAAATGATGAGCTACTCTAGATTGCACAAAGTTGTTAGTGCTTTCACCGTGAATCAAAATTCACACCAATCGACCCTGAACGTCTCTGGTGACGCGCAAGGTATTTGGAGTATAACAGCACGCCAGAGTATTAAGGGACACCAAGGAGTGTTCCCGATCTTCCACGTCTCTCTCGTCGTCGTTGGGATCTTCACCATCCCCGCCTAATTGGTTATCATCGGTGGCATCATCCAAAAAGAAAAATTGTGGATCCTTACAACGATGGCCTGGAACAAACTTGGCATCACAGTAATAGCATAACCCTTTGGCACGCCGAGTCTGAGTTTCTGCGGCTGAAATTTTACGTGGCTGGGGAAAATTAGGATGGATAGCTTTGGGTAATTGATCGATGGGTGGTGGTCGGCCAGGCATGTTATGTGGATTAGTGGGTGATATTGGAGGACTGGGAAGAAGGGGTGATGTTTTGGTCCCGACACCGCGACCCATTAGCCGTTTGATTTCATTCAATCTGGCCTCATGAAAACGGGCTAAGGTCATTGCCTCACTCATGGAGGTTACCCGATTGGATATAACCTCATTCTTTATTTCTGATCAGAGACCTAAAATAAAGCATTAAGAAAGCCTCTGGAAGATTAGTCATACGCAAAACCAAATCCTCAAAACGGGTCTGATATTCCGCCACTGTTGCCGTCTGAGTGAGTTTTGTGAGTTGACCTTCTGGTGACTCAATTTCTGTCACAGCAAACCGTTTGCGGATGGCTTCAATCAAATGATATCATCCCGCTAACTGTCGTTGGCGTTACATCCACCGGAACCACTTATTGGCAACACCATCCATGCAAAATGACGCCATCGTCACCCGATGGTGATCTTCAATACCATAGAAGTCGAAGAAATCCTGGGCTGATGCGATCCATTCTTCTGGGTCTTGGCCGGTGAAGAGAGGAAGCTCGACCGAAACTGGTTTTGGAGAAAAAGGGAACCCATCCTCGAGATCATCCATAAGTTTCCCTTTGCCCCGAAGTACTTTGGTTTCACTCGATCCTTCCTGAACCATTGTCGACTGAACCAATTGCCCAGCTGCGCCGTGAGCGCGGATAATAACAATGTTAATCTCTTTTTGTGCTGTAGTGGTTTGAATCTCCGCCAACGTTTTTTCATGCCGAGAGGTAGTATCCTGGAGGGTTTTGATTGCCTCTGTGTTGTTTACCATAGCTTAGGCTCTCAAAGAACAACAATCAATTCCAGAACAATGTTAATCTCTTTTTGTGCTTTCAATACAAAGATGAGATCCAACTTTACTCTTATTGGAGTAAACTAATGCCACCTTCTAACCTCTATTAAATGACAATGAGTTTAGCTCCATTTTTCGTTTTAAGAAGTCTTTTGTGTTTAATTTTTCAATCTCCTTTTTATATGACCAAACTTCGGGAATTCAATAATGAAGAGTTTTGAACGTCTCTTATGATATTACTGAAGAACAAAGTAATCATACTCTGAGCTTTTCGTTCATGTCACTTACTTAAAGATGCACCCTTTTATCACTTGACTGGCATTGCCATTGCCTATCCATTTTTTCAATTTCGGACCTCACTCTCCTACATAAACCATGGATGGACCAATCTCTAGGTTCCATAGGTAGTAGGACCACCGCCATTCATACCTATGACCTTTTAGCCTTGATGTCTTCGACCCATCAACACATTGCAGATTATGATACATTCTCATTCACTCTAACTACACATTGGGATAGTAACGGTTCGGCTTGAATTTTTGACACACTCAAATCTGATCTTAAAATTAAACTTCTCTACTTACATTTAATTCGATGTAGATTTAAAAGAGTCTCATCCGATCCAATATTTTAGGTTAAAACATATACCCAACTCGATTTAAATATATATAATTTATTTTTGTTAGATAAAATAAAGATCTAATTGAAAAATAAAAAAGAGTATTATTGTAATTATTTTTAAATATATAAAGAATAATTATAATATTATGTCAGTTCAAGTTTTTTCACCCTAAACTCAATAGAGAAGATTATTCTCCATAGAGGTCATTAGTTCGAACAGCCACGTTTGTAGGATGTTACGTAAAAATTCTGAAATGATAATATCCCATAATGGGCCGAAATAATATTATTGTGTCGTCGTGCCTCTAAATCATTGTAAACGCTGTCGTGCTTCTCATATGTACAAAAACAAAGGTGGGCACACTTGAGGAAAGCTTTAGAGCCATATATTGGATGAGTTGTATACAGGCAGGTGCGTCGGTGGGGTACGGTCGTCCTCAAGCCATTTCTATAAGTCGCCCAAAACAAAACCCTAGCAATCCATTGGCAAACACAAAAGTCACATTGTTTGATTACCCATTAATGATTCCCCTTGTCTCTCAATCCACCTACGTCCTTATCTCTCACAAATTGTTCATGCTTTTATTATCAGCTATTCACCACCTTAATTTTTTTTTTTTTTTGCATTATTAAGTTGTTTAGTTAACTCCATTGGTCAATAATTGTACTTCTATTACACTAAAAACTTTTGGCACGTGAAGGTCCCTAAAGGTCATTATGTATTATGAGAAATAGATCTTTTGTTCTACCAATCGGCCTCCTTGAATCCACCGTCTGAAACTCACAAAAGTTGGAATAGAATTTAGTGACACAGTAAATGGATTGAGGTACTAAAAGAATTTTTTTTATGTAATAGAGGGACTTTTATTAAACCTTTAACAATATTTATATGATAGAGAAACGAGATGTGGGAATTTGGTAGGTCCTAATGTCTTTGTTTTATAATGAAAAAGAGTAATGTTTGGTAAGAAATTCATCCAATGATGTTGAAGAAGAAACTGTTTCAAGTTTCCAAGCTTCCACCATGGCCCCCCCAATGTGTGATTGGGAATCAGTGTTGCCAACACTAGAGCACTTTAACAATGAAATCCCCTCTGCCGTTGGATTTGTATCAGATGTTTCAGTTTCAGAGCCAGTCGATTTAACCCAGTATGATCCGAGAGATGTTTCATGTGATTGAATTGATAACTTTGATTTATGTGAGATTGTTTGCTTGATAAAGTAATCTATTAGCCTTGCTTTTGTTGTATTGTGGAGATATGATGTAAACTCCTCGGTTTAATCAAACATTAGTGATTGAGATTGACATTTCAACTAGGGAGGGTTGTATCGCATGATAGTAACAGCCAATTGCTTTAAAAATCTCTCAAAAACACACATAGTATTGCAGCACAAAGAAACGACAGAAGCCGAATCCGATTCCTTTTATTTGTTAATGGAAAGTTTAGGATCTTTGAGTGATGGAGGGACGAAATCGGCATGAGAGAAATTCAACATCAATAAGGGGCTGGCGGAGGGGACGAGATCCATTTTAGTGTTTATCATGTAAGAAATAATACCCAAACTGAAACATAACAAAGGATATCAATCATAAAATACCAAAATTTCTAATTTACTCATCAACCAAAGAGCCACAAGTGTCATCCTTCTCCCACGTTCAAGACCATGTCGTTTATCTCTTTCCATTTTCCTTCTTTCTTAATGTTAGTATCTGAAACTCTAAACTCTTAGCTCACATTAAATTGATAGCTGTTCGATAAGAACACGACAGTACTTATGCCTTATGGTGTTTGAAAATGAAGTTATCGTCGTTCCACGACTCTCACTCGTCATGATCATAGCAATTTCAGGGGGGAAAACTTGTTACTTTTTGTAAATAAACAAAAAGTTTTGGGAAGAAGACAAATGAAAAATTGAAAAAAATTATTTTTTAAAGTGAAAATATTACTTCATAAGCAATTTTTAATGGCGGAGTGACTAAAACATGAAAATTTAGTAATTAAGTTAAAAAATTAAAATTTTAATGATCAAAACAAAAATGATAATAAAATTAAGTGTTGAGACTTATAATTTACCCATATATAATAAAACCATCTTCTAAGTAAATAAACAAAACGATTATAATAGAACTTTTAGGAATCCATAACTAAAAAAGTGTTAGAGAATTGGCTGAATTAACCGCTAATAATGATTTGAACGGAATAAACTAAATTAAAATGGATTATTATATTCAAAATTCAAAGAAATACCTTGATTTCGTCGTACCTCATCTTTGTCACATTTCATCCTAATTTTTATAATTTTATTAAGGAATGATTCTAATACTTTATGTTACATTAATAAAAGAAGATGTAACGTCCAGTATTACTACAAGTGGTTGTAATTTAGGAATTTGAGTTTATAGAATCTTTAAAAAGAAACAAGTGGAGGCTTGTGGTAAAAGAAAACATTACCCAAGAGAATGTATTATTCTCTAGTATTTAGTAGTTAGTAAAGTGGAAGGAAAAAGGGAAGACCCACGTTGATTCATCATGACTCAAGCAAGTTAGTGTTTGTTCGTGGAGTGGAGTTTATGTACCGCCATGTGCTTTTTCCTTCTGCAAACCTCCTCTCTGTCTTTGCTGCTTTAAATACATAACAACAGCATATATCCTACTTCCTTTTTTCTTCTTAGAATCTTCTTTTACTTGCTTGGGTCTGAATCTGATCAGTCCTCTGTTTTATTTGGGGTGAAGTTCTGAATTTTCCACCTTCTTGTTGCTTAAACTTTGAACGATCTTTCTGTTGAAGTCTTTTGAATTTGGTTTTTTCTGTTGCAGATAAGGTAGTACAGATAGAGTGTCGGAAAAGATGAATACCAGGGCCAGGATGTATCTGCAGTCTGGGAAAGTTCCATTGAAGCATAAAAAAGTAATGACTAATCATAGTTATCAATCATTTTAATCAATGGCTAAACTGGGATCTATTTAATATCTGCTTATCGTTTCAACAAAACACTTCAAAGGGTTGAAGATTTTTTAAAGCAGGCATCTTTCATTGCATCCACAGGTGGATTTTCCAGGCAAAATGTCAACTTTCTAGGCTTAATAGACTGATTGTGCCTTTTTCTCTTTGAAGGAGAAGGCAGAAATGCAACCGGCAGTCGCCACAAAGGCAATGAAAAATCGACGAGCCTCGACCAATGAGAGAAAAATGGCCCTTCAAAAAAGATGTATAGATTTCTTTACCAAGATAGAGTTACAAGTTTCGGATTTCATTTTCTTATCTCTTTTTGTTGATTGTAATGAAATTTGAAAGCTCTAATGTTTTATAAGGTTGATAAACTGAAGAAGAAGCTTAGACAAGAAGAGAACATCCATAGAGCTTTGGAGAGAGCTTTTAATAGACCTTTGGGAGCTTTACCTCGTCTTCCTCCCTATCTCTCTCCTTCGGTTAGTAATTCGCCATTGTTCCTTCCTTAAAAAAATTGAGAAACTTGAAGGAATAAGCTGAGGAAGTTGCTCATTCTAATGCTGGATTTGGTTTTGTAGACATTGGAGCTTTTAGCCGAAGTGGCGGTACTCGAAGAGGAGATCGTCCGGCTCGAACAACAAGTTGTACACTTCAGACAAGACTTGTATCAAGAAGCTGTCTATACATCATCTTAAAAAAGAAACATGGAGAATCCAGCTGATTCGACTGAGGCTTGCCTGGATAATCCTAAACATCAGCAACCAAAAACTATAACTCAAAATACATCGATGGCGAGTCATCTGCAATCTTTCTCGGGTGAGTTTTATGGTTTTTCTAATGTCTCATGAGCCATGTCAATGCCATTAAACTTTATTATTCATTGTTGTTTCAGATGATAAAATGGAAACACAGAATCAGTCTTGTACTAATTCCACAAAGAGCTGTGTAGACACTAATTTTTCATTATATTATTTTAATTATTATTATTATTAAATAAAATATATTATTATTATATATATATTATTATCATTAAATAAAAAACATACAAGGCCCAAAATCGGGGCCTGATTACAATTTCAAGCCCAATCCAGAAGGCCCAAATGACATAAAACCCAATTAGGGTTCATGTTTCAGCTAGGGTTTTCTAACCCTAGCCCCAGCCGCCTCTGATGCTTCCAGAAGGTCAGCCGCCGCCTCTGCCGACACTCCCACTGCCAGGTGACCCAACCATATGCTGCCGACGATCCCCTACTACCACGACTCCCATGAAGAAGTCTCCAGAACGCCACGAAGCTACCCACATCGAGCCCTATGGTGAGTCACCGCCATAGCTATGGTGACTCACCAGAAGTCCCCACTGGAACCGGTCTGAAGGGCGTACCTCCATGGCTATAAAAGCCATCGTGCCTGCAAAAGAAAAAAAAACAGACGGAGAACTACAGAGAAACAGACGAGGAGAAAAAAGAAACGAAAAACAGAAAACAAAAAAAAAAACGAAAGGAAGGGATAACCACAGCCAGCAATCCAACCACCATCAAACACCAAAATAATGAGATAAAGATCGAAAGAAACCTTACCGAGGAAAGCCACACCACCACCGGAGTAACCACGCGCCTCCACACTCCACAACAAACCTTCGAAAACCGAAGGTATTTTTAAATATTTGCTCCAATTGGGAGCTTTTTAAGGTAAACAAATACCGGAATCGTCATTAGGACGATCCGATCTACGTTGTGGTATAAAGTTTTATTTTCCGGCCACCGGAGGCGGTGGCCGACGGTGAGGTTGGCGGTGGCTATCGGCGCCGGAATTCCCTCCGGTGAGGGAATTAAGAGAGAAGGAAGAGAGAGCTTCTTCTTCTCTCGTTTTTGAGAGAAGAAGAAGAAGAGAACAATGAGGCTGCTGGCCCTTCGGGCCAGCTATGAAGGGGTCTATATACCCCTTCCCGAACGACGTCGTTTTAGGAAGGGGTATATGCGTAATTTACATGTATGGCTAAACCCCTTCCGTAGCCATCCGAGTTTTGTAATTATTCATTTTAGTCACTAAAACTAATTTCTGAATGTTCTAATTCAGTATTCGAATTTTATTTTATTATGTTTTAGTCCTTACCAGTATTAAATAATATATTTAGGATAAATATCATATTTAGTCCCTAATAATTTTAATATTTCTATTTTAATCACTGATTAAATAATTAATGGCTAATTATACTACTAGTATTTATATTTTATGATAACTCCAATCATGTCTCTTACATATTTATATTTTATAATTTGATAATTAAATTTTATATAATCTTAATTTTAACCATAAGTTTTATTATTTTTACATTATTTTGATCCAATAGTTTTAATGTTATTACTTTTATTTTCTTTCATTTTAATTATTATTATTTTATTTTATTATTACTTTTGATATATGTTTAAATTATTATCTTCATGATTATTTTATCATTAAGTTATATAAATATATATAATATTTATTTATTCTATTTGTTTATTAAATAAAAATCCTATTTATAAATTTAATTTCATAAATTACTTTTAAGAAAAATAAACATATTTTGATATGTATTTATTTTTTAATATCAAAGAAAAGAGTTGTCTTAAAGCACCTAGAAGCCCTTTTCTGATATTTCTAAATAAGTAAATATCTTATTTATGTATATTAATATATTTTCTTAAAATTATTTGAAACAGTAGAATTATGAATTAAATATATCTTTGAATTTTTAAATTTCCAATAATAGAGATAATTTATAATTAAAAAGTACCAATTTTGGGCGTTGTAGGGGTGCTAATCATTCCCTAAACGTAACCGATCACGAATCCCTTTTTATTATTAAAAAGAACGAATTTTTGGTTATAAACGCAGATCAGTTCATCTTTTAACTGATGTTTTCTTAAAACTCTTTTAAAAGATAATTTTTAGGTATTCGACCTACCTAACCCAAAAGGCCGATGGCGACTCCCAAATTATTTTAAAAAACCATTTATTCACATCACTTTTCCTGCCAAATAAAAATATTTCGTGCCCGGACGAAAACCGGTTACGACAGCTTGGCGACTCCGCTGGGGACTGTCAAACTTTAAAATCAATTATAAATGGTCTCTATTAATTAGAAATTAAAAATTCATTTATTTAATTTTTAATTCTTTTCTTTCAAATTTTTATTATTTATTATTTTTATATTAATATTGTTTATTTTATTCAGATATTAATTATTTTATTTATCTGTTAGAGGTTTGAACATTTCTCCTCACACACAACACTTGCATTGCATAACATAAAGCTCTATAATTGAGTTTGTCCCTTTTAAGTGGGAGTGAAAGCGACATCTTCGTGAGAATTTATTCTCCGTGTCAGACCTAGCAAGTAACTTTCGGGGTTCATATGCTCTATGTCTTTGTGAGAATTTATTCTCCGTGTCAGGTATAGAGAAATGTGTCCCCTCGAATTGAACTCGATCCGTTTAAGTCTGTAATGGACTAAGATTGAGGGTTGACAGCCCAAGGGGGCATCAACAAGGACAATTCGAGTACCTTTACTCCTAGAACTGAAACTCTGCATATAATAAACCCTAGAAATTCACCTAATCTAAGATAGTACTGAACCTTTGTTCATAGGTGTACACAAAGGAGAAATAAGCTCTAGCTTTTAATTTATTTAATTTATTATTATTTTTTCTCCCTGAATAAATGCATGCGAACTAGAAATCATGCGGTTAGGTTAATTTTTCCAAACAAGGCATGAAACTAGAAAGCATGAGGTTAGGATTTATTATATACCATGATAAATAAATTTTTTCTTTCAATTAGTTGGTATTAACCATTTTATTTTTTCTTATTTTCCCATGTATGTTATTTTTGCTCTAATTTGTTTAAATTATTTTCTGTTGTTTGCATTGCATGATCATGACCAAAAGGTGTTAACTGAAAAGACTGTTCATCAAATTAGAAAGAAATCATAAATGGACAAAAAGTTCTATGATCAAACAAAATATGATGCGGCCAAGAAAAGACATCCTGAGGGAACTCTGAAGATAGAGAAGAGCTATGCACCCAAAGATTGTATGCCCATTGAAGAGCAAAAGGAGATACGAGAAATAAGAGAGTAGATGTCCAAAATGATGGATAGAATATCTGTTTTGGCCAAAAGAGAAGAGATTCCAGCACAGAAAAAGAGAGAGCTCAATAAACCTAACTCTGCAGTTTCAGATACGCAAGGGACTTCGATTCTTAACCAATTTGAGAAATTACAGACAATCATCATTCGTATTCACAAATCGTCTGGAGATATCAAAGAAATGGTGACAACTGTACAAGCTCCTAGAGAAGAGAAGAAATCATGTAACCTGAAATCATTGAAGTTTAGTATGTTCCCTATATCTAAAACTCAGGTTCAATTCAAGACAAAAGGCGGTTCTCATATTGATGCTATACCTATATCATATAAAGAGTTGTATGAGAAGCTACTTGAAGCACGAGAAGTGGATCCATATTATATGAAACCGTTCCAACCTCCGTATCCAAATTGGTATGACATCAACGTTCATTGTGAATATCATGCCGGAGCTCAAGGACATACCATTGAGAATTGTCTTGCCTTCAAACGCCGAGTCCAAAGTCTTTTAGATCATGGAACCTTACAATTTATGGTAAATGATCGACCTAGTTTGGTAACCAAGGGTCCTGATAGATTAATACCAAAAGTCTTCAAAGGAAAGAATATAAGTAGGGGCGCCCAGAGAGAAGAAGATTTGCTGAGGTTTGAAGCTCAAATACGTCATTTGAAGATTGAAAACGATAAATTGAGCACCAAAATGGAAACCATACATGAAGACTTCCAGAAGGTCAGTCAAGCCTTTCAAAATGCTGGTATAGGAAACACCCCAGAAGAGTGGATAGTAGGGGTCACCAAACTGAAAAAGAGTTGCAACATACATGAAGATCTTGTCCAAAAACTTTTTGAACACAAATGTTCTCTCACAAAGGAAAATGATCAACTCCAAGAATTGACATAGGAGATGAAAGAACACCAGAATGTCATGGAAGAAGCTGCAGTCCAGACAAGCAATATGGCCCATAAGCTGCTAAACTAACTTGGTTTTAGAGAAGAAAATGGGAAAGTTATTCCCTATATGTAAAGTTTTATTGAAGTTAGGACTGAAAGTTGTCCCCTACATGTAAAAGTTTTGTTTGATGTACTGAAGCTTTTGTGTTCAACGAAATCTGTTCTAAGATGATCACTCTTAAGTAACACCTTTTCATACATGCATTTACATTTTGTATCTGTGCATTTTCATTTTGTATTTTTACTTTTTATATCTTTGAATTGCACATTTTGCATTCTTATTTTTCCATTTATGCATTTTTCACATTTTATTTAAGTACTGTCATGTACTTTAATTATAAAAACATGTTAATAATTAATGAAATGTGTTGTAACAGTAAAACCAAGGTCATTCATTCATATTACTTTACTGTCATCATGAAAACAATGGAGCAATCTTATAAGGGACTACAAGACCAGTGGCCAGAACAATTGACAGAGTTACCTCAGGATATAAGGAAAGAAACATCAGATTCAGTACCAGATGGATCAAATCAAATTATTCAGTATGTGACATCTGATAAAGAAGAGATAATTGATAAAGAGCAATCATGCTGTCAGATTGAAGAGTCGAAAATGGTAAAACCCTCCGGGGCATCCCAATTGAACCCAAAGAATAGCCTTGTTCATTATTCGCAATATGAGGAAAGATTCAAGAAGATAGATGAAGCAATCAAAAATATGAAATGTGTTGATACTTTCCACAAAGAATTAGAAGCAAGAAAGCTCAGCTTGGTTCCAGATTTGATTATTCCCCATGAATTCAAAATGCCTGATTTTGAGAAATATGATGGCACCAGTTGTCCCTTAATCCATTTGAGAATGTTT